ATCTACTTCCTCTTGCATACGTTCCGGGAAATCATCAGGAAGATCGTAGATGTGTTGCAGCATTTCTGCGAAGGTTGTACTGAAATGATCAAACGTAGAATCTATTTCATGTACCTGGATGGGACCTGTACTCATCATAGAAGACTCCGGTACACTCATCGGTTCGGTGGTGGAATCAGCAATCGACATTGTTGAAGAATGATGTAGAACTGGGATTGATACTATGTAGAACAATTCAATGTTTGAAATTCGGAAGCACCAAGAATAACGATCTTCATGAAAACTCTGAGTGATCATTAAGAGAAACTCTTAATGATTATTATGAAAAACTAAAAACGGAGAGGGAGGAAAACACTGCCCCAGCCTCGCAGTGCCTCGTGTACACCAACCAAAAAGTGTGTACTCCGTAGAAGGAAAGGAAGGGAAAGGAAAGGAAAGGATAGGGTGGGAGAAACAGGGAAACGATTACATATCGTCGTCGGAATTTAGGACATCATCGTCATCAATTAGGATGGGAGATGGTGGAGGACTGTCCTCGATAAGGATTGGGGATGGTAGAAGTCTGATGTCGCCAGCGTCATCGTCGTCGTCGTCATCGTCATCATCTGTGGTGCCTCCAGGCGGTGGGTCACCCCATTCGTCATCCCATTGGTTGGGATCCGGATAATCCCCCTCCGATAGGTCAGCTTCATCACTCCCAGTGACATGCTGAACCTGCATCCTGTAGTAATTATTCATGAATTCGAAGGGAATGTCATGAGGTGCCGTTGTGGAGTGCACGAATCCTTCCTGTATAGATGCATAGTAAGACATCTGAGGTTACGGGACACTATAGGGCGGTAGCTGATCAACTGAATATTCCAACAGATAATTCCTACTTTTATACTTTTGAAAGGGAGTGGGGATGAGTGGGGATCAAAGAACTTAGAATTGAAATTGAAAAAAAGAAAAATAATGAAAAGACGAAGTGAAGAAAAATGCTCCAACCATCGCATTGTTCAATGTGTACCAAACCAAAACAATGTACACCCTTTATTTCACTTCTTTTTTCATTTGTTTTTTTTTGTTTTTTATTCCTAAAATTATAATTACAAACCTAAAACTACCATGCTACCTAATTATCCTAAAACTATCTTAGTTGACCTAAAAACTATTTCCCTTTATTTGAAAATGTCTTAATAAATATCTTCAGTTCATTATTGAGCTCTATCGAAGAGGTCTCTACCTTCCGCCTTTCCTTCAGAGATGCAGTCCTTCGATCTAGCTCGGCCATCCCCATTAACAACTCGCGCCGTCGGCTAGCAATTTCATTCTCCTCCCGGGAAATGCTAGCCAACGCGGCCTCACTATTTCGTGAAGCGAGTGCAACATCCCTACACCTCTGTAGGAAAGTTTTCATCTCCTGGGGGTTAACCTCTCCGATAGGTTCCGGCACTGGTGGCACTTGTGGCGCGATCTCCCCGGCAGGCTTCGACACTGGTGGCACGACCTCCATGGCAGGCTCTGGCACCGGTGTAAGTTCCATGGGTGTCAACATCGCTAATGGTGCGAATTGGGTGAGGGTTTCACCTGGAGATGGCATTCTCTGCACCGGCTTATATGCCCTCCGTCTTTCCACTGTCAATGCGAGCGGTGCGGGACGTCTCGGAGGATTCCTTTTGGCGGTCGACCAACTACCTGCATAATGGTTAGTCCTATTGCATTTACTCCTATACTTTTGAATAGGACCAACCTTTGCTGCAGATTGCCGTTTGGCTTTATTAACAACCCTGTCTTCCTGGAATGAGACAGGGCTGCGTGGCCGCTGCACATCACCCATATAAATGAAGCTTTCATATCTTATATAGAATAATAAATGTTATTAACACCAATATGTAAGCCTGTGGCGTAATGGTTAAGACCCTAGCCTATGAAGACGTATGACATGAGTTCAAATCCGTGTGACCAAAAATTGTTTTCTTCATTTCTCACCATTATTCCTTGTGATTTGAATAGAATTTGAACTGTTAGTATAAGTGGGCCTGTGGCAGCGTGAATGTATTATCCCTACCACGCAGACTATCCAAGTTCGAATCTTGGTGAAACGAATGGCAAAACTAGAAAAAAACTAGAAAACATAATAAGAAGGAGGAGAAGGGGGGGGGGAGCAAGGGGGTATAGACATGTAAAAAAAATAGTTTTTTGAAATTTAAATTTTTTTTCAAATTTTAGCATTTGGGAAAATTTCAAGTCAGAATTCAAGTAGATCACTAATGCCGGTTCTGGGACATTGAAATATATATATAT